TTGCTATCTGAAAGTAGCTGTGAATATGAAATTTTTAGAAAAGCCTTTGCTGGAATTTCAATTCAAAGAATTCGGTAATTATTATTTATTTATTTGAATGCTTTATATAATTAATCACAAGTTAGTAATTATTAAACTTTAAAATAGACAAATTCGTTGAACAGATTCTACCACTATTACTAATCCTGATTTAATATTAGAAAATTTTATAAAATTTTCACAAATTGTATCAAGTATTAATTGGAATAGACCAATTGTAGTTATGACAGATTCTACTAAATTACGACCAAAACTTGTATATTCTGGTGAACTTAATTATATTGCTGGATCAATTTTATCACATTCAGAAACAACTATCGAAATACTCGAAGATATACATCCTAAAATTGATTATATTTTAAAGAATAATGCAATTGCTACTCAAGTTTGTAATATAGTATTAAAGGTTAGTAATTATTATTATTAATAAATTAATTATATTTTTTATTTAGATTCCTATTGAAAAAGTTCTACCAGTAATGATAGCGATGCTTCCTATGAAGGGTAATGAAAATGCTGAGCAAATTGCACATTTAATACATCAAGTAATTGAAATGTCACATATGGCAAATTTGAATATTTTAAGTTTTGGAGCCGATGGTGCCAGATCTGAGTTTAATGTGCAATCAATTATTACAAATAAAGCATCAAATTTTCTTAAATATGAGGATTCTTTTTATAAAATTTATTTTAAAGCATCTATATATAATGGCAAACTATTTATTCGAATCCAAGACCCAAAGCATGCCAAAAAAACAGCCAGAAATCAAATATTTTCTGGAGCAAAACTTTTATCACTAGGAATTAGCACTGCACGTTATGATCAACTTTTTAAGTTAGCATATCAATTACAGCATTTTCTTTTAAAACGAGATGTACTTAATGTTGATAAGCAAAATGATGATGCAGCATTACGTACTTTTCATTCAAATAATTTAAAACAAATTCTGGTTAACGATACTTTACCTGATGAATCAGTTGGGCTTTTTGTATATCTATTTATATTAGGTAATTATAAGTAAAAGCTTTAATTTATTTAAACAATTTATTTATATATTTTTATTTTTTAGGAGAATTATGTGATGCTTATTTAAATAGAACAATTGATCACAAAATACGTATTGAAATGGTATTACGTGCTTATTTTTTTTTAATTATATGGAAAAAATATATTGAACGCTGTATCAATCAATATTCATCAAAATGGTATAATTTACAAAAAAATTTTATTTCACTTCAAAGTTATGATATTTTTATTAATATGGTAGAATCTTTAGTAATGCTTGTTATAGTACATCGTGAATATTATTCACAATTTCCTTTATTACCATGGGAATATGGAACTGAAGCATTAGAGCATATATTTGGAATTTCACGAAAAATACTTCCTGATTTTAATTTTTATGAGTTTTTTAAAATACAACAAAGAGTATCATTTCGTGATAAAATTTTACGTGCAAGAATAATTGATACTAGCAGAGAGCAAAATTCTGCAGCAGGTATTTAATATTATAAAACTAATTTTGATAGAATTAGTTTTAAGAGATTCAATAATAATATATAATTAATGATATTTTTAGGTTATATTTTTGATATCGATGGTACATCACTTTCATGTGAAATAATTGAAAAGCTTCACACATGGCCTACTACTAAGGACTTACAAGAATGTACTAGAATTGCATTTAATGAAGCCGTATTATTAGCAAAATATATTCATATATATAATTATAAAGAGGAATTTTTAATTCCAGAATTTACTAAATATATAGAACAAATAACTGATATTGTGAATAATGAAAATGATGAATTAAATGGTATAAATATAATTTGTTTGTATTATAAACATATTATTTATTATAATTAATCATTTAATTTTTATATAGAATTTATTAATACTTTCAATAATGAAACTAGCTCAAATCGTTCAATTATAGTTGGAAATGCAGCCTTAGAAGTAGCACGTTAGTACCGAATTCATTAGATAATGATCAATTACACAAAGATGAAACTTTAAATAATGATGAAATTTCTTATAATGAAAGTTCAGTCGAAGATGAAGATATGATACAACAATTATCATCATTTACCAAATTTTCTGAGATTCAATATATTATTCAACATTCTCCTATTCCTGTATCTTTTCATTCATTTCAACAATTTTTTACAAATGACGCTTTAGATTTTAATATTCTTTTACAAATTCGTCAAAATCATGATGCATTTTCACCACATATGAAATCTAACTTTAGTCATTTACATCAAACTACAATAGACAAAAATCATAATAAAATTAATGAAAATGTTGTCAATAAACTTATCACTGAGATAACATCAGACAATGTTGATGAAAATCGAAGAAAAAAACGTCGAGATCGGTGGGAAGGAAGAAAAAGATTAGAAGCATTGTCTAAACATAAACATAGTAATTTTTTTATCTTAAATTGTAATTATAAAGATGCATATAATTTATTAATATTAAGGGTGTGGCGACTTAGTGAAGTGGTCAAGTTGTCGCATCCCCAAGTGGCAGGACAAGAGTTCGAATCCCACTGGCG